TCCTTCTTGCCTTACATGTTCTCAAATCTGCCTTCGTCTCATGCTGGCATCTCCTTGCCGATACTTTTTCCTTTTCGAAGATGGGCAGGAGAACCTGTCAGGGTCGTTGAACAGTGGTATACAGGTTCGAAGACACTATAGAAAAGAGGGTACAGGGCGACCTGCGAGGATATACACAGTGTGGGTCACGTGACGCAGGGTCACGTGGTCGCATGAGGGAGACAGGTTGCGAAGGGAACATCTGTAAGACAACCGTGACATCATCCCCCCTATCCTAAATTTTCCAATCCAGTCAGGGCTGACTGGATTCAGAATACGCTAAATTTTGGTTAGGCTTAGGGTCCCACCATACAAAATTTTTCTGAATCCAGACACCCTATCCTAAATTTTCCAATCCAGTCAGGGCTGACTGGATTTAGAATACGCTAAATTACGGTTAGGGTTAGGGTCCCACTATACAAAAATTTTCTGAATCCAGACACCCTCACTACTATTCCTGACTGGTATCAGCCCCTGACTGGTATCAGCCCCCCCAACCCGCCCCGATTCACCTGAAACACTCCCTATCGCTACTTCACCTCCGTCCGACCTACTTTCATATAGCCACCTCGCCGCCGTTCCCCTCCTATCGCCTACAAATCGCGTCGGACCGTATGTAGCCAGTCCGGTTTGTACGTTCCTTGCCCTACCTCGACCGTTAGCGGCAGCGCGGCTATGAAACGGTCCGCGACGGGGGTGGGACCTAGAGGGTTGCGCGCGTGCGGCGGAGACGCTACGGGCACCGCGGACGACGCGTCGTCGTGATGCGGAGGAACGCCCGTCTAGGCCGGTTGGTTAGTAGAGAGCAGGCTCGAGGTCGATCCTAGACGACTAGGCGCGGTAATGGACGGCTTTGGGTACGTCGTAGAGTACCGAGTCTTGGTCTGCCGGCGATATCGCTATGCCGTGTAGCCGAGCCATCTCCTCCGCTATCTCCAATCCGACGTCTATTAGCTTCTTACGGGAGAGGCGCGCCGACTAACCCGGGACCTGCTGACGCGCTAGCTGGATCTGTGCGGTAGTGCGGACGAATTCACCTTTCTAGACGCCGCTGTCGAGCTGATTCACGAGCTGCTATGCTACAAGGACGGCCTCCGCTGCCAGCTCGACGCCGGCGCCTGTCTATTCGTCGCTCGAAGCCCGGAAACGATGCGCTCGCATTGGCGGAAAGCATACCGTAGATAGGGAGTCGCACAGGGCAAGTTTGGGGGCTCCGGGCCAACACGGCAACAGGAGCGCCAGAAGCGGCTCGCAGAGGCTGTGCGGTCGGTCTGTTGC